GTGCTTCTAAGCACTCGAATCGACAATGCAGCCTGTAAGTTCTCCGTACCATTCTGCTTTCAGTGGAATCAGATAATGCATATCTCGAATTTCCAATAAAGTGCTTTATTCGTGTGATATAACAACCTTGCCCATTGCTCTGCCGACGATGCTTGTGCCGAGCTATATTAGCTGACGTTTCGTTTTATCCTTAAAGATCTAAAGGTTCCACTAATGGAGAACCTCACTGACACAAAAGAAAAAGCAGGCGAAATATGGTACCACGAATGTCTCGCTTTTCCGTTGCTACTAACTGATACAACTTTGATTATAGAGTGACTTACGCTGGCTCTTCTTCTTGTTACGCGCTAGGACTTTTAGACGCCCAATTGGCCATATTTCTCTCGAGGGACGTTAAAAGTACCACAATTTTCCCATGAAGGATTTCATCCCGACTTTTCGTTAGCGCGTAAGTTTTCTGAGCCTAGTAGTAGTAGGTTCGGGAACAAACACTACCTTGTTCCCCATAGAGCAGATGCGGAGCAGATTTCTTGGCTATTCCCAGCCACCTTTCATATAGTTCGCCTTATTCAGGATTGAATTAAGTATATAGTGCTCTGCACATGACTGTGTGAATAGTTATGGTATAAACCAATCCAACATAATCACGAATGGCTTCTCGAGTTTTCTTCTACTAGAAGTTATTGGCGGTCAACCACGTCACGAGTACCTTTCACTCAGATGCTGAAAAGCTTTTGAATAAGCCGTCGTACAGGTTACATTCCGCGTAGATATGGACACTGACAGATCCACACAAGTATACATTAGTATGACTTAGTGCGATAAAGTGTTTTGCCCTGTTCAATTCCTTATTTCGTAGAGGTAAATAAATGCACATTACGTCTAAAGAATGATGAAAAAGAGCTAGCTGAGAGACAAGCGCAACGAAGGATCTGGATGGTGTGGTGGCGAACGCTTTAGCCCCGAAAAGGGTAATAGAGCGTTCTTTCCCCACCGCAGACACCTGCGGTCCGGAGTTTTGTAAATATCTCTGCACCATCGTGGTTGTCTATAAAATCATTTGGCAGAGGCCCACCGATATAAATCACTGTCTGTCCAGCCTTGGTTTGCCCAAAGCACAGGATCGAATCAGCTGCGTGTTGCACGACACCTCTACCTAGCCACATTGGTTCCTAAGACTAAGTGCAGACAAAGTGTATCTATTTCGAATTCACATGTTTCTCAAGGCTACTATGTGGTCACTTTTGGTCTGCGTTTAATCTGGATTAGTGTAGTGTTTCATAGATAAGGTAGCAGAGATTGTTGCCAAAAATTTATTCGGCTAACGTTTCGACGTTTACGTCTTCATCAGAGCCGATGATCCGAGTCGACGGTAAACAGTTGTCCGTCTTCTCGATGTGGCCTTTTTGGTCGTCGTATCGAGACGGATCTTCTTCAGTGAAACATCGCACGGGTTATCCGTTGAAAAACAAACTATTATCAACGGATATTCGTTTCAGCAACAACCGCCCTGTATTGAAGAGCTCTGTCGGGTGAGCAAGCCTTACTCGTGCGGTGTTCCTCTGACGAGAAGATCCGTCTCGGTGCGACCAAGAAGAAGCCACATCGAGAAGACGAACAACTGCGGACATCGACTCGGATCGTCGGCCCCGATGAAGGCGAAGGCGTTGAAACGTTAGCTGAATGAATCTGTTTATCAACCTCGTGTAGACTCAACAATTTAAATACATGTTGACCATTCGATTATTACGAATGATCAAGAAAGTTTCAACCTTTCCAACCATCATGAAGAAGTGCCATGCGTAGATCTTGTTTCGCTTCAGTAAACATCCCAAAGAATCCTAAGTTATTATCCCATCGAAAATCTAAAGGACACATTGCCGGTGCTGCGTGAAAGGAATCTCGCACTACAGCTTAGAAATGCTCTGCGATTTGGACCTATGCTTTCTTTAAAGACTTACTGTCCATACAGCTTCATTACGAGAATCACTTTACCTTACCTTATTGTCTTATTCTATAAACTACTTAGAGGGCATTTAAGCGCTGTAAACTGATTCATCCCAATGCATGTGAATAACAAAAACCAAGCCGAGTACGTCAGTTGGGCTACACCTTTGGAAGTGGGCACTTAAAAACATGAGGAATAAGTGAGGAAAAATCCATAACACTTCATGCGGTAAAAATGCAGGTTTCGAATATCCGCAGGTGACCGTAGCCCGCTCGGGTACCCAGATATCGTCGCTTGCAGATCTAACCCGCCCCGCAATCGATAAACGGGACAGATGATTTTAATATCGATTGCCTCGTAGTGGATTGGTGGCCGTGTCGTAAGCTTGTTGTAGAAGACAGAATTCTGGCCTTAGTACTTATCTAGGGTAGATTTGTACTTCGTTATGAAGTAGTAACGTTTTTGGGCGATTATCGATTTAGTTGTGAGGCCACGTTCTGGCTTCGGCCTTACTTTTTGCTCAGGCAGTTTTCTACCAACTGTTTTTCATGGATGAACGGAGTATTCTCCACCCGAACATGCGGCTAAAGTTCTCTTTTCATAGGCAGTTACAAGATTACTGCATTAGATCTCATCGTACTGTTCCTATTTCCCTGAGTTTAGTTTTTACTTAATTCCTTCTTACCTTTTTTTCTTTCAGCTTAGTTTTCTTTTTTGTCCAGGTACTTGACATTCCTCAAGTTTCCTCCCGTATATCTGGAAAGTGATCCTCTGAATTCCAACTAAGAAGAGAATCATAAGTAAGTAATAAAAGAGCTGGAAGTGCTCCGGTCTAGCCATTTGGAAGAGCAGTGCCCTATTACAGACTTAAAATTTTAAACCACGTGCAGCTTAATGCTCTGTCAAGTTGACTTTCTATGTGCTTCATTTATGTCAAAATTTACTTGATTACTTGGATAGTCCGTCCTCACTGGTTGTGCGGGCCCCAGCATAATCTCTACATTTTTGGAATTTTGCTCTGGGATTCCTGATGGGAACCCCGCACTCCTTCTCAGGTTGGGAGACCCTTCCGGAATGACGAATGTCCCCGCTGTATATCGCAGCCGAATACTCAGGAACACCTTTCAGCCGCGATGAGGAGGTAAAGCGTTAGGAGCGTTGGGAGATTAAATTAGAGAATAAAACTATTTAGAGGTCCTTAACGCGCTGAAATCTCACATCCAGGTTAACTGTTAGTATTCATTCACAGTTGTCCTCGATGGAAATCGTGGCGATTGCTATAGGACTAGATGGACGCTTCCGGAAATGTGTAAAACTACTTGTAAGCCAGAAGTCCTTGATTTTTGTGACTTCGTTGTTGCGTTGTAACATCCAAATAACTTTCTTGATGGTTGCTAGAATGTTCGTAGGACTAAATCTTTGTTCCTAAGCTAATTGGCTGAGTAGAGCAACGGTTTTTAAAGAAACTACATTTAAGAAAGATGGTGCGTTTGTTGTTCGCAGCAGAGGTAATGGTTTGACTCAATGCTTAAATATGGGCGCATACGATTTTATAGTATGCTTCTCACCTCTCTGCATTATTCGCTTGTCATATGTAGTTTTGTAAACTCAAAATGCCGTTTTAAGATCTTTCGGACTCGATTGTTTTTCAAGGTATGATATCTGGTCCATGCTTAGACAAGGAGAGAAAACTATTGAAACCTCACAATCCTGGAACATCTCCTGTGAAGATTGGTCCGGCTCCGGTCTGTTTCTCACCGTTCCGGTTTTATTTTTTGCCGATTAGGTCAATAAACACGGCTGTGAGAAAGGCGAAACTAAGGACTTCCATGCTGTGGTAGTGAATGCGCTTGCCCCCGGAAAGGGTAATAGCGTGTTTGGTCCCGACGGCAGACACCAGCAGTCCGGAGTTTTGCAGATGTCCCAACATCATTATTGTTGACTTTGTTAACTAATTGGTGTCTAGGTTCGTTCTCCATTAGTTACTCCTACGAAGAGCTATGGCGATCGGTTCATACCTATTCGCAAGCCGAATCAGGAGTGGTCGACTCGATACAATGCAATAGTTTGCCCCGATCAAGAGGTGGGTTATCGTAAACCGTTTGTGCTTTTCAGTGTTATTCAATTCGATATTTTTCATACCATTGTAGTCGCCTAGTCAGTTTAAACGCCCGAATGCGACCCGTGTTTCATCAGCTTCCACAAATGCGTCAAATAATAATGGAAGCCCTGGCTCACAATATAATCCAGCGCAGGTAACGGTTCTGCCTTCTCTTTCACTGTACTTCATTGCATTTGCACATTGTTTACCCTCTTTCTGTACCTCATGCTTCACTTTAGGAACTGATTCGGGCTAAATTATTAGCCGTCGTCGCTGCCACATTAATTTTGTTGATGCCAAATGTAATCACTATGATGCTGAGATATTTGCAAAACGTGGACCTCAGGCCAGATTCGAACCCACTATTACCCTTTCCAGGGCCTCAAGTGTTACCCATTGCACCACTGAAGCCCTTGCTTTGCCTCTCTCTCAGCCGGTTTACTAACTAACGGTGCCATCAGCAATCACCCGTCAGCAGGATTGATCTGGAGAGCACAAATCAACATTGAACCCAGTTAAGCTGAGGCTGTAGTCGAGATTACAATGCTAACTATTTATTTACTGCCCATTATGTCTTTAACGGCAGGATACAACAGATGAGCCTTCGGAAATGGTAATCGTGGGTTCGATCTGGCATGTGGGCCAAATTTTGTAATTATTTAAACAACATAGTGCTTGTATTTCACGTCATATCCTGCAGTGAGAAATGATAAAGGGTAGCAAATAAAAGTTAACATTATAATTTGTTGTTGTTGTTCCCGATAAAAGTGAGCTTTAATGAGATCGTTTAGTACACTTACGTTCTAGAAGAAGCCATATTTGTTGTTCGCGAACACATTTCATTTAAAGACAGTTGTGGTCGTATAACTCGATTGTTGTAGAATCCGTTGTAGAATCCGTGCACTGACGATTCTCGACAAGATCAAATGGTAGTTCGAGCGTTACTTCGAAATGAATTACTGCAGGATAGGATTGATGACATACGGGTGAGTTGTGCTTCTGACCTTTGTTGGACGTGCAAATTCCCTGATATGTGGTAGTACTGGAAATCGAATTCGCTTTAAGTCTTGCTACAAAGATGTGGAAACGGAGAAACCGCCCAGCAGCCCTGCTGGGGGGCTTTTTAGCTACATTAAGCGCACTCCTACTAAATTGGAGGATCCAAGCACATCTCACAGGCATGTTTCACGTCATTGTCATATTTTAGATCATATTTTGGCATAGTTTTTCCTCGATTTCAAATTCGTTCAGTATTGTAACATTGTATGTCAAGCTCCAAATTTATTACACAGACCTCTAATTTATTCTTCTAAAATTTAGTTTCACTTTGTCGCCGTTTTCGGGGCCATTAAGCGATGATAGTCAAAGACTTTTAAAAAGTCCGCGAAAACCACAAAGGAAAGTTCCGAAAAACCCGTACAAGGTGTGTTCTTTATCACCGAAAACATGTAGGACTTTCGTAACATGTTTTATTCAGAAGTGGTTATTTTCAGGTACTGGACGCTCCGGAGTTGCAAGATGACTTCTACCTAAACCTAGTCGATTGGTCGTCACAAAATATGCTTTCCGTCGGTCTGAATACGTGTGTATATTTATGGAGCGCTTGTAATAGTCAGGTAATTTGCTGGGCTTTCTTCCTTTACGTAACAAGTGACAGGTCACATAACGTGATGAAGGTTGTCTTGGGAGGTTGCTTGTTGACGTCGGAGTTGATTATTTACTCATGTACTTGGACATCATGTGTTCACCGAGTGGTACATATCACAGTTAATTTTCTGTTCCTTTTTTTCCATGCCAGCGTCGTCCATGGCGGTAGTCTTTTTCAAGCGTTATAATCTCTACGTGCACCATTCTATACTCGAAAAATCATTTCCAGCTGCGAACGTAGTTTCTTAATGAGAGTCACAAACTCGTTAATTGAGCGATCCTAGGGGAGCGTCCATCCTTTTTAGCTACTCTTTTGTTCATCTTTTCCCATATTGATTCTATTGCATGGCTGGTCCATCTGTTGTAATTTCTAATTATGTTCCCCTGCATATAGGAAATTACATGACATCGGGGGTCTGAAATGCACAGCCCGGCTATATTTCATGCACTCTATGTGCCTTATTGTCTAAAATATCAATTTCGAAATTAAAGTATCAATCTACATCTGTGCTGCATAAAAGAACGCTCAAAGGACCAATGAATCAAAAGTGTGGGTTGCCGTGGAGTTGTGGTTCCACTAGTTTGTGTTATCGACAAAGTGTGTGCTACCGACGTTCAAACTTTTCTGAACTGATGGATGAGGATTGATTTTCTTGGTTTTATTTTATGTAGCGCGATGTCATGGAATTCCATACGACCCCCTCAAGAAATGCGATGGTATCATTATTTAACGAGGCAGTGGTGCAGGGCACGAAACGTTATCTACAACTTGCTATGGTCGTTTTGTTTTGATTCGCTTTCAGTGAAAGTCTGTTCAATACAACATTTGAGCTGCCCTTTTCTATGTCTCATTACCGTAAGTCGTAGCCTGGAGCGTTTAGCGTATTACTAGGGCTTGCTTACCACCGGTTGACCGATTATTTTCTTTGTAATTTCGTAGTAGCTAGAGATTTACGAGCTAGTCAGAAAGGGCAGTCTTTCGCTATTGTGAGTTGTAGGAAGGCTTGCCACTATTTGGAGAAGTTTACTACCAGTGAGGGGGTGGTTTCTGGTATTTGGGTTGAGGGCGACTGTCGGAGATCCGTTTTGTATTTTCGTATAGGATTTTTCTTCATATTTTGGACTGAACATTAACCTTCTTTCTCGTTTACGTACCAACGTAATCGTACCAAATTCCACTGACGTTCTTTTTATTAGTTAAGACCTTGGATACTCAAAAATAAAATCCAGATTAGGACCATTTATACCATATGAATGTTGCCCGTAACCATTACATTGGGACATGTGTCTTTCTTGACTTCACAGTTTGTTCACTTTCAAGTCGATTTTCTTCCTCAGTGATGCTGAGATATTTGCCAAACTTGGAACCCAGGTCAGATCGTACCGTGATTGCCCTTTTAGGGACTTGTCACTCGAAAAAAAATTGATGGGCAGTAGATGAAAGCTGTACATCGTGATTTCGACTACAACATCGGCTTAACTAGGTTTAATGCCACTTTGTGTTATCGAGTTAATTTCCGTTAACAGGTGGCTAACTGAATGAGGTGATTGATGGCACCCTTAGGCCGAGAGAACAGCAGAACGAGTGCCCTCAGTGGTATTGTGCCTAACACGTGACTCTTTGGAAAAGGTAATCGCGATTCGATAGGGCCGGTGGTCGAAGTTTTGCAATTATCTCGCCATAATTGCGGTTTTATTTCACGTAATACCTTTCTGTAAAAAGATTACGGGCAATAGATAAAAGTTGTACACTGTGATTTGTTTCCTGTTTTTAATATCCTTAGCAAAGATTGACAAAATATCGGGAAAGCAGCATCAAATTGAGCGGGATGAGAGGCAGATTCGAGAAATGGCGTTTGATAGTGATAACCAGCCAGGTTTGCGAAATCCGATCCATATACTCGCAAAATAGTTTTGTTTGTTTTGTTTTTGCGGATTTACACGACGCGATCTAAGTGTTGCTAGATCTAATCAAAATAGTTATCGTTAATTGTCTAACAGAGAGACTCCACATTTCCAGCTCTGCCGTGGAAGAAAAAATATTGGAACGGTTTTGAGTCTGAGTTTTAGTTGACATGGTTACCTCTCTCGTACACAAATGGAGGGGTAGGGTTTTACCATCCTACTATATAACACTAAACAGTATGGGCATCGCGCCTTCGGAATTTTGCTTGATCTTCCTGAAGCATCATTAATGGAACAGGAAGTTAAGCGACGTAGTCAGGTTCGAAAATTTACTCCTGCAAGCAGCAAACAATGTTTTCTGGGAAAAGAGAATCGATGTGATATACAGGAAATCACATGTGCTATCTATTGACCACATTTTTTAATGAATAAAACTGGAAATGAAAATGTTGAAGTCGGCAAGGACATATCCTGCCCCAGTAACATACTTCACGGCATAAATGTAGGGCTTACGTTATTCAAGAAGGTGAGATTCATCAACTCCAACTTTTCAGAAATTTTAAAGATAAAATTATCATTGTTGTTAAGGTAGTGAAACTGTGTGATTTGGTGAACGATCAAGATACCGTAACGTCTGTACAGTGGGCGGACAAAGGTGAACTTCTAGCAGTTGGTACAAATCGTGGTATCACTCAGGTAGCATAGTGACCACTTGAATTCATTTAATCATTGTCGGTGGTAGTCATTCATCGAGTCGAATGTCTAGATTTGGGATGTACATACGCAAAAGATGACTATGGAATTATCTGGTCATACTTCACGAGTAGGTTGTCTGGCATGGAATGGTGATCTGGTGTGTTCGGGCAGTAGAGACCGTCACATCATCCAACGCGACATTCGACAACCACATGTGACGGAGAAGAAGATGAGCGCTCATCGCCAGGAGGTGTTTGCTTCTGCAGCGTTGTCATTGTAGAATTATTTTCATAGACTGCAACTATTTACTGAGATGTGTGCGGTCGATAATTTATATTTAGGTGTGTGGTTTAAAGTGGTCTCCTGACAAACAATATCTGGCCTCGGGAGGAAATGATAACCAGTTGCTGGTGTGGTCAATGCGGCGAACTGACCCTAGTCAAGTGAGTCAATGCGTTTTAATATGTGAAAATTTTTTCATTAATTATCCTAAGAAAGAAAAATTAAAGAAATTTCACCAATATTAATGTTATCCAATCTTTGCTTTTGTGAATATTTCTGAATAACATCTTGCGTCCAAAATTTTTGTCGTTTTTTTCTCGAATTACGTCCTGTGAAAATTTATCCAGGATAAATGGGAAGGGGAAGGTCAAGATTTTAGTGCGATTATGCAACGGTCTTAAGGTGTTCACCGAACATAGCGCTGCTGTGAAGGCACTTGCTTGGTCGCCACATCATCATGGTCTTCTTGTTTCTGGAGGCGGAACTGCAGATCGTCATTTACGGTTTTGGAACACTCTTACTGGACAGCCTATGCAAGCTATTGATACTGGAAGTCAAGTAAGTGACGATAATTTCCCATCTCCGTTGCTTTTCAGATTCTGTTCTACTGGACTTTAATATGTAATATAAGTGCAGAATTACACCTTATAACCATAACGATGCTGAGATATTTGCAAAACTCTGGACCGCTGCTGTCGGTGGTGACGACCCAACACACTTTTACCACCACCTTAACTGGATTCAATGCCGATTTGTGCTCCTCAGATCAATCCCGTTGACGGATGATTGCTGATAGCACCTATAAGTCGATAACATTGCTGAGAGGAAGACGAAATGAAGGACTTGTATGGTGTGGTGGTGGAAACGTTAGCTCCCCGAAAGGATAATAGCGCGTTCGTTCCCCACCGCAGACACCAGCGCTCAGGAGTTTTGCCAATATCTCAGCATCGTTATGGCTATATTTCACATAATACACTGCCATTAAAAAATAGTATGCAGTAAGTAAAAATTGACGACACTGCCTATAATGTGTTGTCACTTGAGGTTTGCAATGTCGCGTGGTCGAAGCACAGCAGTGAATTGGTGTCGACTCATGGTTATTCATTAAATCAGGTTGGTTCATTTAATTATCCACATAGAACCGTCTAATTCCGCTCTATTTTTTATGTTTTTTTAACCACTCGTCATAGTGAGTAGCTCCTGTTTGATAGAAGCCCTTCAGTTTTTTACTAGTTGCTTGGTTTATTTTTTTACTTTAAGGTCATCATATGGAAATATCCAAGTCTCCAACCAGTAACCAAACTTTCTGGACATCAGTTCCGCGTTTTATATCTAGTTGGTGTTTCTTCTTCTGACTTTTAGGATCTCATTGTTCCCCACTTTTATGCTTTGTATGATGAAGCCTTTGCACCTAAACTATTCTTGTTGTTTTAGGCTATGTCACCCGATGGAGAGTCGATCGTGACAGGTGCCGGCGACGAAACGTTGCGATTCTGGCATGTGTTTAGCAAATCTGGTCAGCAGCGAACAGCTCGAAGCAAATTGAATCTTTTTCACAGTTTACGATGATTTTCAAAGTCATGCAGCTTTTATCCACAAAGGACGGGAAAGTTGTTCTGTTAATAGACCTATACTGTGGCTTTAGAGGACAAGTACAATGTTCTCTACGTGATTGGCTTCGATGACTTTTTGGAAATCTTTTCCTATGGTGTCCTTTCCTTAAATGCGTGGATTGGCTGTCTACGTTGGATGTTCTCTGGAGCATTAAGGAAGCTTTTTGTTAGTTGGAAACTAGAGATGCTTCAGTCCCAATTTTCTTCACTTTACGTTATTTGCAATTTACATTGGTAGTTTACCAAATCCAGTTGACTTTAGTGTTTTACACTATCTTTTCTATCAACCTGTACATCATTAAACTGCAGCATGAAATTTCTGTGATACTTCGCCAATAATGCGATCTCTACTAGTAATTTCTCCATTACACTACATCGAAATATTGCTTACTGTTGGCATATTGGAGCAAGGTTATTTACATCTAAATACCATTGGTTTCTTCGAATTAGGACCAGATTTTGATGAATATGAGTTACCTTTATACGAGGTTATCTTGGATTTCAAATAAGGAAAGCTGCGACGACATACGCAATTCACATAGTGGTTGCCGTGAAATGTAGTATACCATGATGACCACATATCGCTGTAACCATCAGAAATCAGTAATGGTGCTTCGTGTGGTGGTCTGTCAGTCATCTCTGTATGCGTGGAAATGTGATGTCTGACTAGTACATGTCTTGTGAATGGTAACTTTCTAAGCTCATTGTCCTTGTCGTCAGCATGTCTGTCATTCAATCTGTGGTTATTATTACATACCTAGTCGCTCTTTTGTTCTAATCCTGTTATGTCAGCCTGAGTCATCGCATTGTGTTCTTTTTGTTAAGTACTAGTGCAGATAACAGTACTGATTCGTTTTCATGTGGTTGCTTATTTTATTTCTTGTTTCAGATCATCCAAGCATCGTAACTCACCCACGCTCTCCCAACTCTGTAAAGTAATCGCTTCACTGTAATCGTTTCTTTAGAGTTTTTTTCAATCTTCGTATGCTTCTTTAGTGTTGACATTTTAATAAATGTACATAAATTTGAAAGTACCGGTTTACTACAAACTATTGCATGGTACAGCAAAGCGATACCCATATGTTGAACATTTAATATGAAGAAATAGCTCAGAGCTATTTCCATATCTTAATTACACCATCTGCACTAGCTGACACCAGAATATCCGATTCTAGGCAGAGCACATCACTGACTGAAGTACGATGTCTCGTTGAAGCTTGTGACTGAAAGAACTTGGTTGCATAAACAGTCAAGAAGTCCGTTCAAACTTAACGATGTAGTAGAGATATAGGTTAAAGCAACAATACAAATGCTTGGCAAAAACCTTCATACCGTTGCTCCGACCTTGGGAATCTTATACATGGTAGCCTACTATTCTATCTTCCTTTAGGCGTTAGAATATAAACAAAACGTCCAACACACTTTCAAGTCAGGAAAACTGCGTAGTTTTGTGTGTTCGTTCGGTACACGCAGTTCGAAGATTGTGGTTGGTTGCCCAGCGGATCCCGCCATCTCATTGTAAGCGATTCTGCATGGCGAACGGGCTGAAATATCGTCAGAAGGTACTAAATCACGTTAACAACTCATTTCACTCGGTGAACTCTACGGCCAGGTTACGAAAGTGTCAAGAATTCTACCAGTATTCTCCAAGGGTTTAAAAATTGCATAATAAAGTTCTACAGTTGATTTCTCTCGGTCCACTTATGTATTCGCAGAGAGATGCCCAATTCAGATTCCATCGACGAAGACTTCCTTCAGAGTCGCCAGTGTACACAAAGCCGGTGTCTTCACAAACACACAGGGCTGTACTCACGTTGCGCAAATCATCCTTAAAGTAGTTATCACGATGGTTGAAAAACGGAAGTAGAACATGGATGAATGAAAAAGGGAAGATTTCTCCCTGTAGGAAGATCGAAACAATCTAGGGTTATGAAAACCTTAGCACTTCTGTGGAAGTGGGTGAGTGATCCAATTCCATGTTATTTGACGTACCTTCTCGTCTTTATGCATTCAAATTATACTTCAACCTATGTTTATACGTCGAAGCTATAAGGCATATTGAATCGTCGCCAAATGAGGAAATTATTATAACCTACTACTCGGATTACATGGACGGCCCGTCCTCACTGGATGTGCAGGCCTCAGCATATTCTCTATATTTCGCATTTTTGCTGGTTTAGCCATTGTTTCCTTGGAGTGCCGAGATCAGCCTGATCAAAATCTGCCCTGGCTTGTCACCACCACAGGCAGTCGCCGAACTTGTGGATCAGGAATTTGCCACCATGTAACTGGTTTGGTACAAGGACGGTGGTGGATCCTGGTATTGGTTTACTGTTAGCTGGGCTTCTTGATGGAAACGACAGACTCCTTCTTAGCTAGAGAAACTCTGCCGGGGGAATGGATCCCCCGATGTACATCGCAGCCCGGCACCCTAGAACACCTCCCATCCACGATGAGGTGGTAAATTCTTGAGAGGATTATTATAACTAAACAATGAATTAGAAGCAGAACCCACATCTTGGGTACTGGATTGAGCATAAGTGAACGGATCGGATAATGATGGCCAAAGTGTCCTGCAATAAACTGTCCTCTATGGATACATTACTGAGAACTGATATGCAGGATAACCGTCCTTAGTGAATCCAAGAAGTCGTCGTACCTTATCGGGCTAGTTGTACCTAATTCGAACACGTCCACCTCACCGCGCGATCCATAAGCGACAAATATCTTAATACAACGGCACTAACTTGGAAATACAAGAGTACCTAGTGAAAACGATGTCTAACCTCAGGAGGCGTTTGAACCACTGTTGATGACAATGGATTGGACCACAGTCGCAGTGGGAGCAATCCATGTGGTGTTTTCCATGCATTCACCTGCACTCGAAACCTTAAAGAAGTTAGGAAGAGCTGATGTCAAACTATGAAAATGAAAGTGTAAAAGTATGTGGCAACAGCTGCAACTGGATATATTTGAACTTCTCATAATAACAGAACTCATGACATTAAAACGACAAGACAACTGTCAGAAGACTTACTACACAAACTCGAAAAAATGGAGTCCTAAAGCCTTTTATCATTCATCGTAACTTGGCAATTTATTTTAAAAACCTTCTGACCACTGTGGTAGTAAGACAGAATTGGCAAACCCCACCCAGCTATTCAGCTATATTAACAATACTAATATTATAACCAGTTATTAAAACTAACTGAGACAAAAGCGAAACGAAGGACCCGTATGGTGTGGTGGTGAACGCGTTAGTCCCCAGAAAGGATAATAGCGCGTTTGTTCTCCACCGCGGACACCTGCGGTCCGGAGTTTTGCAAATATCTCAGCATCATTGTGATTATAACTAGTAGTATCACATACCTCAAATCCCAGAGCATCAGTTCTTTGTTCGTACTACACATAACCATCCAATTTTCCATAGTCGGATCAATACAAGAAGATGTTACATAAAATAAAACGTTGTGGTCTATAATGTTAATAAGGGCAAACGAATATGGCTGACAACTAAAATTTTAACTAACCAGGCCGTGGTACTTCACCACCTCTCTTCGCCAAACCTCGTGAAATCCTAACGAACCATTTGTTCTGCCAACTCTGCAAATTTTTTAATGATTACTTTATATATGCTTTATATACTTAGATACTTCGATGGGCTGTCTTCACTGGTTGTGTACGCCGCGCTACAATTCTCATCTTTTCGGAGTTTTGCTGGAGCTTCCATTGTGGTACCTTGGAGCCCCGAGGTCAGCCTAGTCAAAGTCTGCCCCAAGCCTTCACCGCCATGAGCAATCGCCGCCCTTGTGGATCAGAGGGACATTTGCTACCACGTGACTGGTTTAGTACCAGGACGATGGTAAATCCTGGCGTTGGTTTATTCCTAGCTAGGCTTCCTGATGGAAACGCCGGTCCCCTTCTCAGCTCAAGAGTCTCTGCTAGGGATGAATCCTTCTCTGTACATCGCACCACGATAGCCAGGAACACCTCCCAGCCACGATGAGGTGGTAAAACGTTAGAAAGGTATGCTTTATATGGTAGAGAAATTTCCGCATCTTCCCCACTTTCTATGATTTTGTGTTTGTGAACAAATCTCCAAGATATCTATGAAGAATATAAATCTATCTACAATTCCCCCTCTACTTCAACAGAATTCAAGCAGAAGAACCAGAAAATTTGAAACATCATCTTTAGTTACGATAGAATCACCGACACCACAAATCCCGAAGATCTCATTATTTGACTTTATATTTTAACAAAAACAGTTTAGACGTAGTTACTATTACCAGTACGTTAGATTGTGAGAAATAATGAACCATAATAATCTGGCTATTGTGACCTTAGATCAAGACAGTACAACATTCCATGATGACTCCTGACATACGTAATATTGTTTGACACATGGATCTGCTCAGGTGAACCTTCATTACTAGCTAATTGTACCTAAAAATTTCTACGAATAAGTTACGGAGAACGTTCTTAATATGTTAGTACTAATGAAATTTACTTTTGTCACAATTCGAGGCTCACTGCTTCCAGAATCAACCCATAGCACGTGGCCGTCACTGACTGCCATCACGATTATCTCGTTGCTGGCCCAACCAATGGATGAGATGGAGTGATCTGAACGTGCTTTTGAACCGCCCGTACATCATCTTATAAACAGGATGACTAAACCAACAACTCCTATGAAATGCTGAGATATTTGCAAAACTCCGGACCACAGGTGTATGCAGTGGGGAACGAACACGCGCTGTTGTCCTTACCGGGGAGCGGCGCACTTCACCACTACACCATCCGGGTCCTTCGTCTTGCCTGTCTCCCAGCTAGTTCTATCGATCTTTTTTGCCATCAGAAATCACCCGTCAACCAACAACGTTTACTTGATATTCGTACTTCTATTAAAAACAAACGATGCCTCTGATCGTACGGCTCCATAGCCGTCTCCTACAGCATTTCGTGAATTCCACAGCAGTACCGAGCCATCAAGAGAAGCCGATGCGAATCTTGTTCGGTCGGGTTGTACAGCCAACCTATAACATGTACCGGATCAACTTTCCCCAAACTGCTCTCACAGCTATGGTAAGCACCTCCTCAAAAGTCCGTGGCAAATGGTATGGTTTCTTTTAATTTATTGTTTACTTTTTTCTCGTTATGAACACTTTACTGTAAAGAGTGTACACCAACAAAATTTTGGCAATAGAGGAGACTACTGCGGTTGTTGGTACAGATTGTTATACAATGCTTTTCATATTATACGCACGACAACACTCCGACTCTACAAAACTTGAAGGATATACTTCAATTCAACGGAGTAAACGGCTAGCGAAGCCTGTTCCAGTCAGCTATCTGCTCCGTGTTCTTCGGAATATCCTCTGGATCTGTTCCTGCTTACAAAGATGACCAGCACACGTCTCTTAACCGCCTACGTCTCGATGGTTCCATTAGCCATTTGCTCCGTCACACTGAACTACATCGCTTCAAACTTTGAACAGCCAGAGAGCGGATCTCGTGCTCATGCCATGAAAAGCATCGTCTAACAGTCTAGACCAAAAATCGCAGTGGTCCCCACTATTGTCAAAATTTCGTTCAGTGATGTGGTTATTGCTGGCGATTTCCACTGTCAAATTTCTTAATTACAACACAAAAAATCCTTTTGTTCACCATCCATTTGTATGTCATCCTTTACATCTCAGATAAAACAAAGTTTTTCTTCAATTTTTTTTGCAAAGGGCATTACAGAAGTGTCAAGAAACATTTCATAGTACTACTCACTGCGTAACCTTGTCGGTATGTTCATGGAGATGGGTAATTAAAGTGCCGGAAACTTTCGGATTTGAAGATGCTGACCGAGGATTCCTTAAATATAGTTCCATTTATTGATCGTGTTCGTGTCACCTCCATTGCAGCAATTTGCATTCCTTTGTTCTTAATGTGTCGTCTTACCTCCGTAAAGTACACATGGTAAAAAGGAAAAACATTAGATCAAAGGAGATAAGTGAAATGTAGACATATGTGAATCTCACCTCTTTGCTCCTCCACCACCAAATTTCTTGTAATAGAGCTCGCTCTTATGTTGAAGAAGCTCGGCAAGTTGAGCTCCACAAACCGACGTTCGCACTGTGATATGTTTGTACGATATTATAACTATTACGCGTGGGCGTGTGTGGCGCAGTGGTATGGGGCGCCCGGCAGTACACATGGGTTCGATTCCCGCACTTCGGGCTCACCAAGCCTTCCGTCCTTCCGTCCCTTCGGGGTCGGCAATTTGGTACCAGCCTTGTCTGGGAGGATAACAGCACTGGTTCGATACATCGGTTAGCCACTGCGAGTCATTGGCAAGATACGCATTCAATCACCTCCATTGTGAACAATCTGAGTTTAAAACTGAACGAGAGGAAACAGACAACTTGAGCATGTTCCAAGAGCATGGAGGACGTAGTGAAGATGATTTCTCCTCGCATCTGACATGTTGCACACCTTTTTCACTCTAAGACTCTTCCTGTCTTAATACGCACCTGAAAAACTTGGTCCTTACCTAAGCTGAATAAAAAGTCAACGCGACTGGAACACATTTCATCCATATTAGTCGAACGATATAGCAAAAGCTTTTATACAATTCTGCCAGGTTCACAACCCCTAAACCTCTTTCTATTTCTTACACGACCCGTCTTTCACATCTGCTGTGCGGATCCCAGGACTTCTCACATTCAAGGTCTTCCAACTTTTTACGTGTGGCTTCGGCTGCTGCTTGAGTTTTTTTTTCGTCATTAATGTCGTTGAGTGCTCGTCGAGTCGATTCTCCGTGGAGTGCTGAGATAGCCGGTCTAGCTAGAGCATTCCCACTTCGACTGCAGAGAGTGAATTTCTCCCGGACAAGGCCGTTACCAATTTTCCGATCCCAGAGAGATGACAGGTTTGGTGGGCCCGGATCGAGGTCGAACTAGCACCGTGCTCTAATGATCTACATCACTACCACTATGCCATCCGCCCGTCTAAAGCTCTCTAGCTAATGGAAAACCACTTTTCAGCATCAAGGAACCAGAAAGTCGGCAGCGGATGAAAAACTTCTTGTGCTTCATTTTGAGAGCCACACTAAACGGCGCGCATCCGTTATGGATTGAAAAAAGATAAAAATTTGATAAGCAGTGTTTAAAAAAAAGGACAGCAAATGTCATCCGCTCACTCGAACGAGTCTGCATTTGAAGATGCGCTGCATTCCGCTCATCTATGGATTTACTGTCATTAGACCGATCGACATCACCAAACATTTCCGTCCATTCACTATTCATTTCGGCCGGAGTGACAACCTTAAAACTCAAAGAACATGAACTTATAACTTACGGTAGTTTTTTTTACAACTAATATCGTACCTTATTTTGTGATATACTATTAGACGCATAGGTATGAACATTCCTACGAACTTTTGTGTGTAACTTTGAGGATAGATCAACGATACCTTTATGTTGTGTCAATTCGGATTCCATACCAGCTCTGTAAAGTGGGAAAAATAACTGAACAACTTACTTGCCTGGATACTAGGATGGACCATCTTCATTGGTTGTGCGGACCGCAGCACTCCATTGTTTCGGAGTTTTGCTGGTTTAGCCATTGTGGTTCTCTGGAGTCCAGAGGTCAGCCAAGCCAAAATCTGCTCCAGGTCGTCATCACCACAGGCTGTCGCAGTCTTTGTGGATCAGGAGATTTGTCACCGTGCGACTAGTTTGGTGCCAGTACAGTGATGGATCCTGTTACCAAACTAGTAGCACGGTGACACGGTTTACTCAGCTGGGTTTCGTGAAAGAAACGCCGGACTCCTTCTTAGCTTGGAACACCTTACCAGGGGGATGAATTCTCCAGCTGCACATCGCAACCCGATAGCCAGGAACACCTCCCAGCCACGTTGAAGAGGTAAACCGTAGGAAGGGCTATTGTAACGAAAAATCATCAACAACAATTTAGCAGATCAATTGCTCTCCTGTAGCGTTTAACGCGACATCATCATTATTATGTGGGCGTGTCCAACGTAGTCTGTAAATTGCAAGGCGTCCTAATTCCGAATCATAAATTCAATACCACAGGAGCGATAGCGATGAAATGGAGTGATTGCTAGCTGTTGGGATATACGGACCCTCCAGGAAACATACAGAGAAGCAAAATTACGGTGTATCCCTTGCCTCTTAGAAAGAAAATGCATACATACGTTTTACGAAACTCTGCCATCTTCCTTAATAATCGACTAAATCGAGATAGTTTCTCAAACAGATCTGGTTCAAGTGTATCACGAACGAACACGCGAATAAACCATGAATCGTTACACGTGATAGCGCAACCTCTAGTACCACGGTCTAGAACATATTAATATAAGCACTGAAATAGCATGGACATAAAAATATCAACAACTGAAAGTTCTCTTGACGAGTAAACACGAAGTTTATAGTACACGATTTATTCACCTACAAAGATTTCGTTGGATTTCGCCTTCCTGATATCCTCGAATAGCCAAGATGAGTAGAATGTAGTCAACCAAATACCTCCATAACCTCGATAGAAAAACAACGAAGCTTAAATTTCAACTGCATAAAAACAATATAGTTTCTTCACACACTCGTCGTTTTCTGTGAATCATCCACGAAGGGACGACAGTACTAGGTTCACATGGATGCGCTTCTCTCAAGTTAAAATATTAGTCTAAGATACTGTGTGAAATCACGCGTGATCAGACATTCCTCCCTGCGGATCATTTTTGGATTGGTGAAGTATACCCGAGTATTTCGAGACCCTTACGCGCTGAAGTACTAGATTCCTCTGCGAGGATGGTGACTTCTACTTCAAAATCAAGACCAGAAGAACCAAACAATGAAGCTGGCAGCAAATTTGGGATATTTCCGGGCGAAACTTCCACATTAGGCACTACAGCGCTCCAAACGCAGGGAGATACAGAAATGTGGAAAATGAGAGGTTAGTGACTGATAATGTTAAACGGAATTGAACAAGCAGTTAGTGATAACGGTGGAGACTCTGTAGTAATTTTTCACCAATTGGGTGTTGAGATAAAGGAAAGAGATATTGAAGAGAATAACATGATTTTTGCTTACTACCTTTTCTTGCTTTTCATGGCAGAGTACGATGTGACTTGAATCACAAAGATGCTGAGATATGAGCAAAACTCGGAAACGCATGTAGGGTTCGAACACGCTTACCAGAGCCTCTTACTCTTAGATTACTCTTACCAGAGCCCCACGTAGTATCCAGCACACATACCGAGGCCTTTACTTGGCCTCTCTTTCACCTTTGTTTCTACTCAGTCGATGCGATCAGCAATCATTCCTCAACGGGAATTATATGGAGAGCACAAATCAGCATTGAACAAGGTTAAGATGAACCTGCAACCGAAATCATAACATCTCAACCTGTAGTATAATCACTTTTTATTTACTGCTTTTTTTGGTGGCAGGGTATGATGTGGAACATGTTCACAACGATGCTGAGATGTCTGCGGTGGGTATCGAACTCGATATTACCTTTTCCAGGAGGTAACGTGTTCACCACCACACCATGCGGGTCCTTCGTTCCGCAGTTCTCTAAGTCTTGACTTTTATTTATTACCTTTTCTTTTCTTCCACAGCAAAGTACAATGTGAACAATTAAGCATAATTTGGTTCGACGATTTCTGCTCCGCATATGTGTCGTTGACGGTTGATTGCTCGTAGCACGGATAAAAAAAGAAACATAGCTGTGAGAAAAGTAGAGTAAGCGCCTCGGTTAGTATGGTAGAAGCATAGGAACCCCAGGGAAGATAATCACAGGTTAGAAGCCCAACTGAGGTCTCGAGTTTTGCTCATTTTTCAGCGCACTTACGGTTGCATTTCACAATTCACCCAAATATTGAAACATATTCCATTCCATTCTTCCAAGCACAGAAATGCCATTGGATCGGCTAAACAGAACACATTCTACATGCGTGTATGTTATGGAGTCCATTACTGTCCTTTATAAAACGTGTCGAATGAGCACGCAATGCAAGCCATTCGCGAGCTCCTCATGCTGCACGAAAGGGTAATAAACATCTATGTCTTCTCGATTTACAAGCTCATGACTCTATTGAAAGAGTGCCTAAACTGTTCAATCTCTAGATGGGTATTTCGCAGAATCAAAGTGGTGCCAATGGGACAGCGACTGTAACCAAGTCTTTTCACTGCATTCATGCCTAGGGTGGAAGAACCAGTAATCGATCTCCGAATATTACTCCTTCTTTTATTTTGTTTGATCCGTCTCCATGTCTACTGTGCGGATCCTAGTACTTCTTACACTCGATCCGTTTCCTCGCATCCATTGTCCACCAAGATCTTCCAACTTTACGTGTGGCTTCGGTCGATGTTTGAGGAATTTCATTTCATCTTGAATGTCGTAGAATGCTGATCGAGCAATTCTCCCTTAGAGTCCTGAGATAGCCGGGTTGGAGCATTCCCAATTGGGTTGCAGAGAGCGACTTTGTCCCAGATAAGTCCGGCACCAATTTCCCGACCTCGGAGGTATGACAGGTTTGGTTAACCCGGAGCGGGATCGAACTAACACCATGTTCATGATGACGGACATCACTACCACTCTGCTATCCGCCTCATGACCAGTACCTTACTTCTAGATATTAGATATATAGATGATTGGCTTGTCATCTGCTACACACAAGAGAAGATTGAAAAATGCTTTGAGTTACTGAACGAACACTCAGAGTACATAATATTAACGCGACAGAAACCGAAAGAAACCTGGCTTCCTTTTCTGAACGACCAAATTAAAGTATTCAGAAACGGCTACACCATCAAGTCGTAGCGAAGACTATGTAACAAAAACATATCTGCTCATTACTTCTCCT